TATGCCACACTTTAGAAGAAATGTCTTGGAAGGGACGATAAGAAAATCCAACTTCAACAACACATTCGTTGTTGAGAGGAGTAGAAGGATCTGCCCCTTGGTCTCTGCATTCAATTGCCTACACAGCTACCGGGGGGATCAACGATTCGAATACCCTTGGGAGCATCATCATCACCCTTAGACTCGGGCTTTTCCTTTTCGGGAATAAAGCTACTCAGAACCACCTGATAATGAACTAAAAATCATTAGCAAGTTCACAATAAATACTCAAAAATAAGGGTAAGAACATCCCAAGGCTGCAAGTTTTGCACACAACAAGGTACAAAGTAAGCTTTCTACTTAAGTGACAAATATAGGGGTGAGACTATTGTCCACTGAATTTCGAGTCATGCACTAAGGATAAGTATAGTTAGAATAACACCTGTACCGGGGTAGCAGCTATGAGCTTTCCAGCAACGCAACCGCCAAGAACAATATGATCTGACCTAGATAACATCACGCTAAGATCACATGTTCTACTACTTTTTGACAACATGACTGACCCTGATAATGAGATGATGAAAAATTGACCCTGCATATAAATAACAAAATATATCCATACTTGATGAGCAATGCCAAATAAGTAGGCTAGAAATCAATTAATGTACAATCGATTATCACCTTTATAAAATTCAAGCATTAATATACATATCTAATTTCACTACATTTCCAATTGATGTACATACAACTAGATACTTGTGCATAGTATATAAGGTAGAAACACCAAAACAAGTAAAATCAATTGACAATTAATATGAGCTCAATAGCATATTTTAAATGTTTTATTGTGTTTTTTTCTTCAAGCACATTCAATATACTTGTGACTAAAACAATTCAAAGCGCAAAAAAGGACTAGGGGTCAATAAACTAAAATAAGATTTTCACATCCTCTAACTGACTGTCATTAGAAGTGGAGCTTGAAGTCCATATCGGTTGACTAAATGCAGTAGATTTTTCTAAAATAACTTACTAAATTTAGAACACGGTTATTAATAATTAAAATAACCGTTTCAAAATTAAAAATCCATAAAATTGAAATCTTATATCTGCAAATGAGTTCAACAAAATCTAGTGAAAGATAACATACATAGCTAGAGTCATAAACTAACTAAGCATAAACTATCACATCATGCCTCGACAAAGAGGCATGAAAAATAGTAAGTGTGTCTAAGCTAAAAATAATACATACCTCATATGTCACAATGCCACCACCCGTTGCAGACTCTTGGAGGGTGACGTTGCATATGCCACCCGTTGCAGAATGAACACAAATTTTCATAGGTCCTTGTTGTGATAAATTCATTATCTTAGACACAATGTCCTGCGTAAAAGATAATAGGCTTTGCATCATTTAGTAAAATCAACCGAAAAATTCATAAGACATGAACTTCAATTCATGAGAACTTTTGATCATGGGTATGATATAAAAACAAATGCTTTAGGCTAAAAATCATTTAAGTAAAACAAATCTTACCTCTCCAGTTTTCACAAGGATTACCTGCGCCTTACCAACTACACCTGTCAATCATCAAGAAAATCCAACAATCACTAATTATAGTAAAAAAGTTTATAAAAGTCATATAAATGATGTATATAAATTAAATTTTTCCCAAATTAGAAGAAACAATGAACACATACATACCAAAAAGTTCTCCATGATTCGATGAAGTTTGAACGATTTTAGCACCAACGGAGGTCTTTTGAGAATCCATCGAATAGAGAAGTTGTTTTTGCTGTTGTTTATAAAGAATTTTGATAACAGAGGAAGAAATTTCTAAAAATTGTTGGGATTTATAATCTCGATTTAGTTTGACCAAAGGTAAAACTTGGGTTTCTAAATTTAATTCTTTTAAATGTTTGCACAAATTGTCCCCTACATTTGTGCTATTTGATTTTTGCCCCTTCTTTTTGCTCTTCAAAAATAATCATAGGGGAATTAATGCTTCATTTGTTATCGCTATTTTTAAAACATCTGAATTTGACTATATATCTTAATGATTAAGATCTTATCTCTTTATCTTAACATTAAATGATTAAGATGGTTTGTCATTAAATATATGAATATCTAATTAACCTATTTAACAAAACAAAAATAAATCTAAGCCTATGTTTGCAGTGTTTCCACGCATATTTTGTTGACAAACCCATTCTATCATCATGTGCACAACTTGGATGGATTCCTTATAGCCAAGTTAAAAAAGATGAGCAATTGCAAGTCAATATCAAAAATGATGTTTAGCGGTAATTAATAACAGTAATTGCTTAATCGACACAAATATGCTTTCTTATAGACAATTAACACTCTTGTAAATATTTCAATTTTTAGAGATAATTAATACTTTTTGTGAATGTCCCTACAGTCTATAGAGACATTGATTTCAATGACAATTAACTTATCCCGGTAAAAACTTTAGCACTTTTTATCAATATTCATATTTATCATATATTTTGTTGTTTAAACATATTAGCTAAGATTGACAAGTATTATATATACTACATACACATGTAATATTCTTTTTAAAAAGAAAAATTATTAACACATTAGAATTCAAAATACATCATATATCATCATATTATATATTATTAAAAGTGGAAAGCTAGCTCTAAAATCCAAAGTTGAATTACTATTTTATTCTTCCACTAAATTAAAACTTAATCAAATATTAATATATATTAATTAATGGAAGGATTTTACTTTCATTCTTTCATTGTGATGCTATAAATATAACTGATTAGGGAAACTAATTAAATTAAACTAGAAGACAAAAAAATTACCATTTAAATATTAAATGATTAAATTACCTTTATGTTAAAGTACTACTATTACAAGTTGGTATAGTAAACAATTAATATGAAAGAAACTATTACATCTTGCTGTTTTACTCCTAACTTGCAAATTAATTGATAGTCAGTATTTTGTGAAGTCTAAAAGTTATTTCTTACTGACTTTATTTAAGAAAAAATTATTAAAATAATTTTTTTAATAAAAAAGCTGAAAAAATCTTAGTTTCAAGACCTTAAATTTTTCCCTAACAGTTACATCCATTATAAACTTTAACTAATAGTAATTAACTATTTTTTAAAAATAATTTAACAATTTTTTTGTTTGTTAATTTTACAGTCGAAAAAACTTCATAATTTTGAATCATCAAAAGGATAGAGTACGTGTAAATATGATTTATATACATCAATTTCAACATTTATTATCTTCATCACAAATAATTACAATTTATATGTTAGGTGAACACCATACAAACTACAATTGATAATGATCTAATACACATCATATAAGGAAGAAATACATTGACGTAAATTTATGTACAAATTCTAAGAAAAACACTACTTGCATTCGATAATAACTTCTTCATATATATGCAATTATAAAAGGAGGAGACTACAAATTTGTAAAAATCTGGCGAAAACAATGTAACACATGAACATATGATCATAACCGACGTTCCTCAAATTCATATTTAAATTATGTGTTTTTGACATATAGAACAAGAAATTAATGTCAAGTGAGTACATGTTTTTTATATATTATTATATTCTCACGCTCCGAGCCTACACCCTGGACGTGACCGGCACTCGAGAAACATTACTGGCCCCAAGCGAACCCTTGGCCTAACTCAACTCTCAGCGGAAGACTTACTCAACAATAAGAGAACTTTATAAGTAAAGTGTTAACTCAAAATATCTAACTCCGAATATTTAAAGAAACATTCACTAGTCAAAGCGACAACTCAAGTCTAGAACATAATAACTGAAATGAACAACACTCGTGAACTAATAATGTCTAACTACCTTTGAAGCCTCTACTAATTAACTGAGATGGAAGTCAGGACATAAGAGCTACGCAATTCTAATAACAAAATTGAAATGATAAACATAAATGAGGATCCTCTGGATGCAAGGAAGCTCACCAAACAACTCTAGAACTCAACTGGATCAATGTAACGCGGTTGATGGTATCGGTTACCTGCATCATAAAAGATCCAGGTCAAATGAGGTAAGTACATGGAATGTACGAGCATGCAATGGGAAATCTAAACATGACATACGCTTGAATTGGAACTAAAGAAATAACTTACCTCGTCTTAACTCAACTCAACGTCGACTCTTTTCAACGTAAAAGCCATAATAATAATGCGATATGAAGAAAAAATTTAAAAGAGTAGATAAAAACTCAACGTATTGAAAAATATAATATAACTCAATTTGTATGTAAAATAAGAAAATAAACATTTTTTGGGAGATTCTTTATTTGACAACTATGATAATTAGTAATGTGATCATATAATGTCTTGCCCAAAGTATCAAAACTGCTCTATACCTTGCCAGGGTGTAAAACTCCTCTGTAACAACCTAGAAAAATTTTTGAACTAAGAGTTGAGTCGTTCATTGTAGTGAGTGAGATTTTACCATGGAATTAAAAATTTCTTAAGAACTAAGGTCAATTCACTAGATTTAGCACCTTGAGTTAGAAGAATTAATTTGGAAATAGCAAAATCTGAAATTTTGGAAGTTAAACTAAGTGTGAGTTTTGAGTCAACTTCAAATGACCTTAACTCCTAACACAGGATGAGTTAAGTGTGCTATAATATGCCATAGGAAAGATCTTTGAATTATCTTTCCAAGGCCGCAAATTTTTCTAAGTTTTGAGTTCAGATTAGGTAGATATGACCTTTTGAAGTTAGGTTGTGCAGTTAAAGAAAGTTAGCCAAAAATAGTGAAGAGTATTTTGGTCTTTTCCTTACCCAATCAGATTTAATTCGTTTTTAGTAAGGTTCTAAGAGTCTAATCTTATTAGGTTCACTTTTATACTCATAATATACGCCTCGGGTTTTTGTTGAGATTTCTAGAAAAGAATAGAAGAGAAAAGAGGAGAGGATCAAGCGTTCATCGAGATTCTTGCGGGATATCGTGGATTTTTTGCATGGGTTTCATCCCTAAGAGGTATCTAAGCTTCCGTAGTTTTCGGTTTGTTCATCCACACACAAATCATGTTATTTTCAGCGAAGTTTCATTCTTAAAATAAAAAAATTAGAGTTCTTGATGAGTTCTTGATAGGTGTTCTTGAAATTCATTCTAAATCTTGTTGTGTTGGGATTTTGATGATTTCTTGAAATGAAATTGAGTTATTTGAGTATTGTTTTCATTAGATTAGAGTGTAATTAAGTTAACGAAGTGAATCCAAGTGATTGGAGAAGAAACCTTCGATTCTAGACGAGTTCGGGTGAGAGAACGAGCAAGAATTCATCTCAATCCCATCAATTAAGATCACAAAAGGAATTTCAAGAAAACTTATCAAGAATTCAAATCCTTCAACCTTAAGAACAAATTTGCATTATAATAACATGTTTGGCGTGTGGGTGAATGAATCCAACACTATGAGAACTCACATACCTCTTAGGGATCAAACCCTTGGGGAAATTCCACAACAAACTTCAAGTTTCTTGACAAACGCTTGAATCTCCCCTCCCTCCCCCCCCCACCCACCCTTCCCCTTTTCTCTTCTTTTCTCTTCTTGAACTCTCTTCTTAAACCTAAGCGTAAATTAGGATTGTAAAACTGACCCAAATCAGATTTGACCCCAACATATTACTAAAAACCATTTTAATCTCATTGGGTACGAAAAAATACCAAAGTACCCCTCATATTTTAGGGTAACTTTCCTTTACTGGACAAACCGACTTCTAATGAGCATAACTCCCTCATCCAAACTCAAAATTTAGCAAACTTGTTGGCGTTAGAAAGAGGATTCCAATATCTTTCATTTGATATCTTATGGGTCACCTAACTTATCCTAAAGTTCTGGTCATTTCAAGTTGACCCAAAACTCACAACTTAAGAAAAACTTGCAAAAAAATCCTCAAATTTGCTATTTCCAATTTAGCGCTTTATAGTTTTAGCTCTTTCTAAGACGGGATGTTACAAGAAGACTTGAGGGATTTGGGGAAATTGAGTGAATAAGAGGATTTATGTTAAGTTATAAGAGTAAAAAAGGTTATAGGTGTAGTTACAATGACAAAACAACATAGTTTAGGGGTTAATTGTGTTGAGAAAGATCAAAATACTCTTAATTAAAATCTGCTAGATAGGTCTACGGTTTGAATCTATGGGCTATCCTGGTAAACTGTAGAACTTGTTACTATGGCTCACTATTTTTGATCGATTCTATGAAACCTTCCTACGACCCATCCCACTTTGTACGACTCATAGACCCCTATCCTTAGAACCCATGTTCAGGCCCAAAATTTTCACAAGTCTAAATAACTTCTATGGATCCCACCTACGACCCATAGACTATATCACGACTCTTCAATCCTTTCGAGGACATGGGTCTCAAATCAATTCTCTAATTCACCTTATGGGCACTTCCTACGACTCATAGACCATCCTATGATTCGCTTATTTCTTTTGTAGGTCAACTTATTCAGGCTTAAAATTTTTCCAAATCTAAAATCGAGTCGTATGAATTCCTTCCTATGATCCATTGGACTTCCTACAATTTGTAGGTTGGATTCATTGATCACCGCATCAGTGAAAAAAATGGAAATTTTTCTTTTCGATCACAACTTCCAATATCTGAGGTGTTACAACAAGTTAAACTGAGACGAATCCCAAAGAAACCTTTCCTCTAATCTAAAGAGATTGACTAACCAATCTTAGAAAGAAGCCTATTCAAATTCCTTTGTATGATAAAAAGTAA